AGGCACACACACATGATTTTAATGCATATTAAAGAGCCAAGCATTGTTTTGTTCCAGTGGATGAGACAGACACCAACAGCCGGGAAGAAGAAGTTCAGCTGACTCAGATGGCATCAGAGTCTTCCAACATTGCGTCTTTCATCTCAAAACAAGCCGCAGACTAAGCACATTGCTGCCGCATTCTGTGGCATCTGTGGGTTATTCCCATTGAAAAAGCATTTTACAGAAGGAGCATTTTCTGGAGACTTTTTTATTTCCATGTGTAGATTACTTTTGAGAATTTTACTGCATGTCTCAAACAGGGTTTATTGAAACTTTTAACAGAGACTTTCACACAGATTGAGGGTGTAAAGTTCATGAAAAAGTATTCTCACGTTGGAAAAAGACCCCAAACCCAACAAAAAAAACCCAACATGTTTTACAATATGTCTCTCAGATCCAGTCTTTGTAGAAATACTCATATGGTTTGAGGAGCAGAGGATGGATGTTCACACTGAAGTCAAAGATGGTACAAATCAAAGACCGTGACTTGTAAGACAAATTGTCGGTCAATTTCATGAGATCACATCTTTGGACAGTCCCACAGCAGTAGAGTGCACCACACAGCAGTCTCTTCATTACAAGAGTAATTCCACAGCTAGTTTCCTGTGAAATTGGTAGCTCTTTCCTTGTTTTTATTTCTCTCCGCTTTTATGAAGGCGGCCAAAGTTTGTGATCTGTCTTACAAATCATGGTCTTTGGTTGAATGTGTTCTGTACATAGGCCTTTTGTACTTACAAATATATTACTCTTTTAGAACATACAGGCCTTCACTTCGGCTTAGCCAGGGATCATTCTGTGTTGTGGTATCTAGTAGTTTGTCTGTGTCATGGTTGTATGAGTTTTTACTGTTAGATTTAAATCCGTGTCTTCTTCTCTTGTACAGTATAAACACAAATGCCAAAACGTATGATATTTAGTTGTTTTTTCATTTGGCTTTGCTTTTCATTTTGTCATTCCATAACTATGTTTTGTTACAACAGGCACCATTCTTTTCCAATGGTGCTTTGGTCGCTTTCATTTTTTTGTTTTTTCCACTTTAAATTCTTCTAGTACAGACATGAGCAAACTGTGAGCCAGATCCGGTTCCCAGTAAATAATAATGAATGTGGTACATTGTTAAATTGATAATTAATAAAAACAAAAACAGTCCAACTTCAAAATTGAATATAATAGTTTCTGTTACAGCCTGAAGCAGTATGAAGCAATAGTTCTGATATTTTATCTCATGAAATGCCCTTGAGATATTTTAGAAGGCTTTTGAGAGCTTTGGTATTCCAACCCATCTCACCCTATCTTCTCTTGCTTTGGCCTGTGGAATTGTGGAATCTCGCCCGCGGCTTGGACATACTTACCGATATCTGTTCTTGTGGCTCTTGACTGCAGTACTGGTTATTTGTCTTTTTTCTCTCATCTTTGGTTCTCTCTTTTGTACTGATGCCTACAGTCTTCCCATTTTCTTCTTCTCTTCCCCACTCCCAAGTGGTTCAGTTGTCAGTCTTATGATAAAAAAAAAATAGTGTTGATTCTTGGCATAGAACTGTGTAGTCATATAAACTTGACACAAGTTGTCCTCCTGCTCATCAGGGTACAGATTGGATGCTGGCATTACATTCCTGAGGTTTAGAACCTGCGATAGGCCAGCATCTTGTTCAGGAAATAGTCTCAATGTCATCTGTTCTACTTCTATTTTCTTCTTTTCATCTACCTCACTCTTCGATGTTTTCAAGTTTCTGCTCCTCTCTCTACAGATGTTTGTTTATTAATAATTAATACAAAAATACAGGAATATTGCGGCTTGAGACCTCATAGAACGTCTTGTCAGTCGTGGATCGGACAAAATATACTTCATCCTTGGTGAAACACCATAGACGTTGAAAGAAAAAAGCAGGCACTCTGTTAAAGGAAAAATACTTTTAGAGAAAAAAAAATGACGTTGACCCAAGACAAGAGACATGCCTTTAGGAAGTTGTGAATTTTTTTACTCACTTGACATAGTGTAGAGGGTAACTGTGACCTGGTCCCCTTGAATCCTTACTGTACTGCAATTGTTGGAGTCCAATGTCTTGCCATTTCTTTACACATTACCATGTCCCATCTTGTGATTGTATTCATGATTCCCACTCCAGAATCACACAATTAGTAGTGCAGTGGGGGGAAAGATAGTGGCAGGCAGAGGAGGAAGAAGACGTGTCAGTTGAACTGTCAATCTTTTACAATATTCTTGACCGTATTTGTTTTTTGTCTGTTTCTTTTTCTTCTGATTTCATGTCTTTTCCTTGTTTCTACTTTCAGAAACATGTTTACTTTTTGTTGTCTAACAGGGTACACTTTTATTTCTGTTAATATTTTTTCGCTACGAAGAAAATTGAAAACATTGGATGTAATGCCATATTCTGTAAACAGAACTTATGACTTTAATTTTGATGATCTTTGTATGAAAGATATATAAGGGATAATGATGAGGGGAGCTTATTAATCCATTTACAAAGATATTTCTATTATTTTCTATACAACCACTGCTGCTATCTCAGATGCTGTTTGTAAATGTTCATATTGTGAACAAACAGACTTCAGAGTTGTACCATGTGAAAGAAGCAAGACCGTTTGTCAAGTATTAAATATTTAAAAAGCTTTTTGACTATGCTGTCTTTTTTACCCTTTAGATTTTGGAAATGTCATATTTCTGGATGTGTAAATATGAACGTATGCAATGATGACAGCTGATATCTCTCTGTATCAGCTAACTGCAAAAGCATTTGACTTTCAAGTGTATACATTGTTTGGGAATGCTCTCACATTTGAAACACATGGTATCTTGACTAATTTAAATGAAAAAGCAGATTGCAGTGTAGAAACAGTTAAATTTCAATGGTATTTGTGCACTCCATTGCATATGGCATGGTTGTGCTTTGTAAACTATGGTTGTGACAACTTAAGACCAGTTGTTATTTTGTGGAGAATCTCTTCCTTAAGATGTTGTCGTATTACGGTACCGCCAGTGTTGTAAATATCCTTTGCAGAAAAGTTTTGCTGCACTAGCACAATTAAGCTGATTGTATGTTTGTCAGAAAGAGTCGTTGCTTTTCACATAGATAATTTCCATAGATTCTCTGCTGATCACATCTGTAACAGTTCATGTTTCTTTTGTGCTGATGCTTTACCTCGCTTATGACTGTAGGCCAGCCTGTCAAAGGTATTCAATTGGAGTGGAACATTGGTCAGAGTGAAATGCAGAGACAACAGGCAACTATTTCAGCCTTGTGATTGGCAACTTATCCTCAGTTGCAGATGACACGAGGCAACTCACTTTCCCCCAAACCAACTGTCCCTCGAAAGGAACAAAAAACAACAACAGAGAGTGCACGGCGCACCGGCAGTGGAATTTTAGTTGCCACAGGGGGTTCCCCGCTGGGCGCCTTATCACGTCAGGGTCACGGGGGTCAGCTCCCTGTCGCCGCTCTGTCTGTGCCGACATAATTTTTGGTACTTTTCAAGGTACAAATTAAGGTGTGTCCTTGTATTTATGGTAATTCTCATTTAGTTCACCCAAAGCACGCATTTCTACTCTTGAGACTCAAAAAAGAACGGACGTTGTAACTTGTCTGGTTATTTCGTTAGACGCGCTGGAGTCAGCAATGCTAAATTGTAATTTTTTTCGGACTAGCGTGAATGAAAAAAAATCAATATAAAAAAAAGGCCTCGTCAAAATCTGTCGAACTTTTGGAACATGAACGACATAGCATTGGTGCAAATACTCAGAAAAGATGGTATCTGCACATATAATAAAAAGCTGTAATTTTGCAACTTTATCCATCGGGCGCACAATTCACTATGAAGTAATTCCTCCCAATACAACTTTATGTGTCTAATATAATCGTGAATATTCGCATATTTTCTAGAAAGTTTATAAAAGTTACCATAAAGTTTCTCTATGAAAAGTACAAATCGATTTTAGTGCTAGAATACATCTTCAATGTAGATCTAATACACGACCAGTATCTGTTACACCCCAGAAATTCCGTACTTTTCTTAAAACGGTAAGTCTAGGTTTTGTCAGTTGACTGAATAATAGGGATGACTTCTCGTAATTGGGTTATAAGAATAATTTCTAGCTTTCCAGGGACACTGAATCAGCACCAGACTTTTCCAGCTTTATTTTTCGTTT